TCCTTTTCTTTTCTTCCCTATTTTTCCTTCTTTCTTCCACCTCTCCCCCTTCTTTCTTCCTCCTCTCCCCCTCCTGCCCCGTCCTTTCCTCCTCCTCCTGCTCCTCCTCTTCTTCTTCTTCTTCTTCTTCTTCTTCTTCTTCTTCTTCTTATTTTTTTTTCTTATGTTTTTTTTCTTTTTTTTTTTTTTTTTTTTTTTTCTTTTTTTTTTTATAGGTTTACCACAAATAGAAGTTGGAAATGTCAGCGAAACGTTGTATTTATTGCCATATAGATTTTATACGTTTCGTCCATTGCAAGATTTACGCTCGTATACGATAATCTACGTTCTCGAATTGCCTTTCGTTTTTATCAGTGGGTTTGGACAAAGTGCAGCCGATTGTATTATGGTAACATTGGTATTTCATATTTGCGGACAAATGTCGGTACTAGCATTGCGCATAAACAATATCGACGTTGATCCAAAAGTAAATCGTAATGAAATTCAAAAGGTCGTTGAATCGCACGCGCGATTATTACGGTAAGATTTTTAATTTTTGTAAAGGACAAGAAGTTCGACAAAAAAAAAAAAAAAAAAAAAAAGAAAAAAAAAGAAAAAAGAGAGAGAGAGAGAGAGAGAGAAAGAAAAGGAAAACAAAAATAAGGAAAAGGATTTGAAATATTTAATTGAATGAAATTAATTGTTGATAATTAAAATAAACAATCGTCCTAACGAATATACAGATATAACATTATTAACGTGTATTCTAGACGATGAAAAATTGTATTGATTAATGTAAATTGAAAAATTGGAATTTTATTAAAATAAAAAGCTTCAATTATACGTTGCAATTGAACGTTGCAAGTGCAACGATGCACAATAACGCATGAAAATCGTAGAATTTTATAGAATTACGTAGAGTTTTTTAATAACATTTAATTTTGTCCTATGACATTTTTCTTCGATTTTCAATCATTATAATTCAAGATATAGCTCGGCCAAGTTATAAAATTGAGCCTTCGTTGGATGATATAACAAAGAGATTTTTCTATAATACTTTTCTTTTTCTCTCTTCTACTTCAATGTTTCATTAAAAAATTATTAAATATTATTTATCCTAGGATGGGCAAGATAGTTGCAGATGCATTTAGCGTGACACTATTGGCTCATCTTTTTGGAGCAACCTCACTTGTTTGCATTCTCGGCTATCAGATCTTAACGGTAATTAAAAAAAAATAAAAAAGAAATATATATATATATATATCTATATATATATATTATATATGCAATACATTTTTAAACACACACACACACGCGCGCGCGCGCGGGCGCGCACATATATATATATATATATATAATTAATATAAAAAGTTGTATGGGATCCACACAATAAACTCTTAAAGTAAACTTTTTTGGGACACCCTATATACTTATAATTAAATATATATATATATAGATGATATATATATATATATATATATCATCATTATATCATGTTGATGACACTACATTCATTATTTATATAATATATAAATTAATTTATATATAATAATATATAAATTTATATACTTATAATTAAATATATATATATATATATATTTAAATAAATAATATATTTATTACTTTTATTTATTTATTATTTTTAATACATTTATTATAAATATTTATTATAAATAAATAATATATTTATTTATATATCATCATTATATCATGTTCATCACACTACATTCATTATTTATATAATATATAAATTTATATACTTATAATTAAATATATATATATATATATATATACATTTAAATAAATAATATATTTATTATTTTTATTATTAATATTTATTATGTTTTATTTTTTTATTATTTTTAATATATTTATTATAAATATTTATTATAAATATTTATTATAAATAAATAATATATTTATTTATATATCATCATTATATCACATAGATCACACTAGATTCATTATTTCATATTTAACATATCGAATGTTGAAAATAAACTGTTAGAAATTTTTATTATGATTTCGTGATTATTTTGAATAATTAAAGCCATATTTAAAAAAAAAAATTAGATTTCGAACAAAAGTTACTAGCTTTTCATTTCACATAGAATATGTTCGCGTAAAAAGAGAATGGTAGATTCTTGTTTGGAAGAAAAACAAATAAATAAATAAATAAAAAATAAAAAAATAAAAAAAGGATAAATTTGACCTTCAAGGCTTTCACTAAATAAAAAAAAAAAAAAAAGCATCATAATATTATCCCTTTCTTTGAAAGTTTTACCCTCTTTTTTGATATCTGATGACTCTTATCCGAACAATTTTTTCTCAAAAATTAATCGTCTTAACGAGATAAACATTTATATTTTATTTGATATATTTATTCATACAACATATACATGTATATATACTCATATATATATACACATCTATATATATATATATATATATTTAACATTATTAGACATAAGTTTATATGAACTTTTTTCATTCATTTGACTTCATTAATACATAATATAAGTTTGATCCTATGCCTTTTGGACATCCTGTATATAATTAATATATTATAAAATATATTACATAGAATTATTCGAATGGTGAAAAAGCAGTGCTGATTAGCTTTTTGGTATTTCAATTCTTGGTACTATTAATTCTCTATGCACATTGCACAGTCGGAGAATGTCTTCTATCCGAGGTAATTATTATTTTAATACTGATTCTAACGATGATAAAATAATTTGAAAGAAAAAAAAAAAAGAATAAATAAATAAATAAATAAATAAGACAAGAAATAAAAAAAAAAGGAAAAGAAAACGAACAAATCAACGAATATAAAATATTTTCCTTTATTTTTTTTTTTTTTATTCTCTTCTTTTCTTTCAGAGCACAAAAGTTTGCGATGCATTTTATGCCTGTCAATGGTACGACATGCCGATCAATAATGCAAGATCAATTATACTTTGCATCGCGAGATCGCAAAAACCGATGTGCCTTACAGCTGGAAAATTTAGCACCTTTTGTCTTAGCACCTTGACCGACGTCAGTAATTTATTATATTAATATTAATATTCGATAATGTGGATGTTCGTGCAGTAAGAAAATATTCGTTTCACGGCAGTACATTATTTAAATTATCTTGACTTGATTGAGTATAAAAAAAAAGGAAAAAAAAAAAAAAAAAAGGATATATTACACATAGAAAAAAAAAGGAAGATTAACTTTAATTCTCATTAAAATGAGACCCTTTTTTTTGTTTTTTTTTTTTTTTATTCATCAAAATCGGCCAAGAATTATTACGGCCCGTTTTCTTTTGATGACGGAAAACATCATAAAAAAAAAAAAGTAGGGATAATGAAAACACGGCCATAATGTTAATGTCAGAAGTGATATGAATTTTTTTTTTTCTTTTTTTTTTTTCTTTTTTTTTAAACTATACGAAATATTTTTCTACAAATAATCTTACAATAATTGCCATTGATATAATCTTTTATTAATTTTTTTTAGAATTCGATGAAAGTTGAAAGTAATAAAAGTAGAAAAAAAATGAAAATAGAGAATCTACGATAAGAATAAAATTTGAAATAATTTTAATCATAACTTTTTATTATTTCACAGGTATTGAGAACTTCTATGGGATATCTATCAGTGTTGCGATCATTTTTATAAAAAAAAAACAAAAAAAAAAAAAAAAAAAAAAAATTAAATATTAACACGTAACAGTAAAATCTGTATTTCTATAGATTATATTCAATAATATATAATCTTTTTGATCGTAATTAATATCTTTATGTATATATATTTTTTTCAAATTACTATCGTAGAATAATTTTAAGTATTATTTTAAATAACGTGAGCATGCGCCCTTTTTAAAATCATAATTACATTATGATGATAATTTTTATTATGAGTTATTATTAATTTATTATGAATTATTTTCTCTTTTTCTTTTATTTTCTCTTTTCTTTCTCTCAAAATTCACTTTATTTAATTCCATTACTTTCATGTTATTAAATTCGATTTATGAATAACGAATGATAAAGAGAAAATTTATGCTTCATAAATGCAAAACGTGGAAAACACAAAAAAAAGAAAAAACAAAAAAAAATAGGTTAACAAATTAAAAACAATATACGAATAAAACTAAAAAATCATCTCTTACCAAATACATTTCCTTTAATAATCCTATGTAATTTTTGAGAAGATTTCTAATTGCTATAATATTATATTATATTATATTATTATATTATGTTTGTATAATTAATTTTGAATTTTGATAAAATCGACTGTCTACTATTCTTCTCCATTCAATCATGCTGTCGATAACGTTGTTGCTCCTCTATATCATGCATCGGTATGGTAAAAATTGTAGATTCGTAAATGTGATTGACTAAATACACAGTGTCGATAAATAAGGAAACTTTACTATGAAAGAATCATACGTCTTGCATAATGCTAGAGCACCATCATTGTAAAAGTACGAGTTACCACCGCAGCGTGTCGCCCAAATCAATTGTTGTTGTAACCAAAATAAAGAGAGCTTTGAACTTAGTTATACGTGTAATATAAAATTACATATAAAAATTATTGTTTTATTTTTAATTACATTAATCCAATTTAAATATTAAGTATTATAATAAATAGGATTAATTATGCTTATTATGGACAATTTTTGTTAGATTACTTTTTCCTAACCTCAACAACGTGATACCAGTTGACTTTATAATTAAAACAGAACTACAATAATTACGTTAAGTATTCTACAATAATTACAAGTAACTCTAATTTCTTATTCACAAATATTTTTTTTCTCTTTTTTTTTTTTAACCTAGAATTTATTGCCCAAAAATGAAACAGTATTTTTTGAACATGATTTTGACATAGATCATCTTGTGGTGTTCAAAAAAAAATTATATTGTTTAAATATTAATCTATTATATACAATGTACATTATATATCGTTTAAATGAATGTAAAATAATTTAAAGCATTAATTATTTAAAGGAAAAAAACTAACTCGATGACTTTCAATATTCATTGACTTTCTTGTTTTATCTCATAATATTTGCAACGACGTTGAAAACTTGGAAATTTTCATTTAAACAACAGCACTTACATATAAAATAAAATTAAATAAATTATTTCATATTAAATGGATCAGAGTTAATAACATTATAATATTTAAGCACAACTTATAGAATTATTCATTTAAATATCAATTATATTTTGCTTCTATATTAAGTCTATATTAACGTTGTTGAAATGAATATGTAATAATTAAAAAGATTATACAATCCTTTCTTTCCAATTACTAACTTCTTTTCTTTTCTTCTTCTTCTTTTTTCAATTTTACTTTGTTAAAATAATTGTATATATGACTGAACCTTGATATTTCTTCTTCAATTATTCATCAATCATTTAAAGATAGTAATTAAGCCATCATCAATTGATTTATTCTTATTTGTTGTTGTACTGATCTGAAAATATTCAAATTATAAGTTTGACATGATTTCTTTTTTTTTGATTTCTTATTTCATGCATTTGTTAAAAGCTCAATTTAATTGGCAAAAAATTTTCATAAGAAGCAATTAAAAAATCATGTTCATTATTCAACTGAATGAACTTAATAAGAGTCATAGTCATATTCTAGATTTATGATGATTATATTAATTATATTAATGAAATAAAATGTTATTATATTAATGAAATAAAAGATTTTTAATGTAAGAATTTAAGAATAGTTATAATTCAAATACAAGTTTAGATTTTTATGGACTTTGTTAAGTACAAACTGATTTTGATATTTTTACACATTTGATACTGTTGACTGTATGAAAATTATTTTAAAGATATTAGTTTAATTTAAAGAATTAAATTATTAGAGAATTAAAAGTATTGGATTAATTTAAAGGAATTATTAACGATAATTAAATAAATTTCTTTTTATATAAAACATATAAATATCAGAAGACAATATATTCTTGCAAATATTTATTTCTAATATTATTTAATTGTTTAAATGTATACAAATGTTTTTATTTTACAATACGTTAGATTGAATTAAAATTAGAAATGTTTCTTTTTAAATGTTGATTAATACCTATCGAATATTACGTACCATTTATAATAACGTCCCAGAACTAATGGCATAATGAAAATACCGAATTTCCATCGTAGAGTTTTATTCAAGTCAATTGTTTTGTAGGTTATGTTCCTAGCAATGGGATTAATGGAAAATATTGATCATCCAATGGCATCAACGTTGAATTTGTAAAATTTCGATGTATCGTCTCATTATTGTTATTTTTCTTTCATCGAAAAAAATTATTTATTTGTTATTTATCTGTAACATTTAAATTTTGAACCTAATACTAAAGTCGTTCTGAAGTGATAAAATGGCTCTTCTTTATTGATGCGAAACAATCTGCATGCTTACATTTAACATAGTAAATCATAATATTGTTAGTACAACTTTCATCCGCAAGATGGCGATTCCCCCGACGGTGCTGCCATCACAGTTTATACATATAGTATGTGTTAAATCTGAATATATTATAGTCAATTGTATATATATATATATATATCTATACGGTAAGAATCGTAATCAGTGAATGAATACAAATGTGAACGGTCGGTAAAACGTATGATTTAGGTTAATTTTTAATGATTTAATTGTCGTCCGTTTAAATGATCTCGCGTTATAACAAAAGTGATATCGAGTAAATAGACTACGGTCTTACGATTAAAAACATTGACAATGCCATAATGATGAAGTTTATCGAATTATTGACGACCTGTGTCGTTTTTCAATATCTAATTTCTTTTTGTACGACACATTTACTTATAAACGTGAAAAATCAAGTAAGAATATAAATCATTTAAAATTTTTTATAAAACGTATGATTAAAATCATAAGGTAATAATATAACATTCAGATTGTTGTTAAACTAACCTAAAATAATTATATTACAAAGTAAATATTTACTATATTTCAAAGCGTTCAATATATTTTTTTAATAAATAATAATTTTTATTATTAATAAATGAATTTTAATTCAGGGTGGTGATATACTTCTTGAAACTATATCATCTAATGTTACCGAAGATGTAATTACATTGGAATTTCAACGTTCTGATGGTACACTTGTAACACAATTGATAGACTTTAAAAATGTAAGTATTCGAAATATATATATATATATATATACGTTAATATATGTGAGTAATATAAATATTGAAAATATTTTCATTATATTATATCTATAGGAGGTACAAGTGATAAAGGCGTTGGTTCTAGGGGAAGAAGAAAGAGGACAAAATCAATATCAAGTTATGTGCTTTGTTAATCATTTTTATAAAGTCGATTTTATATCCTCCGACGCTATGTCTAAATTACGT